AAGTCCGGTGACCATGACAAATACAACCACCAAGGCCGTCGAAAGAAACCTTGGCAACCGCCACCTACTCTTGAGAGCCTTCTTAGCAGCAACCTCCACAACCATACAAACCCCATGCAACAAAAAGAACCCAGTCAGCTTCCCTGTAGGCCTCGCACGGCCCATATAGTAAAAGATCAGCTCGTGCATTAGGGCAGAAACAACGAAAGTTCCTAACACCGCTGGAACCGAGGCCAACTCCCGGCCGAGTAACTTCTCTGCCAGTTTGTGGACAGGTTCGTATACGGACGGGCGGAGAATACGGGTAACCATGAGGTTCCATCTGCGACCCCAGAAATCTTGCAGCGACGACGAGAACAGGGGCTCGTTAAACGTTGGTTCCAATTCTGCCCCTAGTGACACCCGTGCCATGGTGGCCACAATTGCTAGTATAATTTCCAGTGCAAAGTACATATGGAAACAGTACAAAATCCAGATTATGAGCGGATTGATTTGGTCACTGTAGTCGTACAATTTAATCATGGATGCCAAGAGGACCCCTTTCGTAGCGTAACTGACTACAGATCGATGGCTTTTCTTCTTTGACGACTCTTTTTGAGGTGGGGTATTTTCAGGATGACCATTTTGTGGAGTTTCCTCCGGGGGTGGTTTTTGTCGAATTCTGATGGGGAGGCATGCCAAGGCTATGAAGCGAGGAAAAGAGAGTGAAGGGTCGGAGAGAGGGCCTCTGTGGAAAGCAAACATGAGGAGTTTGAAGTTGGAAAGCCATGCTACGAAGAAGGCAGTGGTGACCCCAAGATGTAAGGTGTGGAGTTTGAGAGGGAGATATACGAAGAGACAGATTATGGGAAGAAATGCCAAGAACCTTGGCATGCCCTTTTGGACGATCTTTCCAGCCAAGTAGCAGTAGCACAAAGAGACGTACACAGATAACCATACCTCGACGAAATTGCTAATCTCACCCTCCACCCAATACTTGATCACATCCTTGATCTCGCCTTCCATTTCCCCCGGTAAAGTGTAAACTCTCCTCTCCTCTCTGTTTCCCTTCTGTTTTGAGTAGAGTTCTTGCCTTTTTGGTTGGTACCCTGTTGATTGGTTTTTATCAGCGCTGGTGGGCGATCAAAAAAGATAGATGCCCACTTGGGACTACGGACACTCTAATATTATTGTTTTCAACGTGTACCCTACATGCGAACAACGAGTGGAATCCGAGCAGCTGAGTGAGCGAGTCCAAATTAAGTTTTGTGGCTCTCTTCTGTAATCTGTACCATTTCTTTGTTTGTCAGAACTTCTGTAATCTGTACTTGATAGAGAAAATTTAAACGGAAAAATAACTTTACGTGGAGGAAATTTGCTCTTAACTGTTCTAGAATCTAGACTGGGAAATTATCTGGGTGCTGATATTTTTCTAAACCAACCAGAAAAAATAATATAAAGGAAAAAAGAGACAGAAGAGGGGCCATCATCTAGAAAGGTTTTGTGTTTTTTTTCTTTTTTTTCTTTCTTTCCTTCCCCCGAGTAATGAACCTTGTAGACAGTGGAGTTTCACATCTCAAGTCGCTCGTCTGTATGCGGCAGATGATGATTGGATGACCTCCTCCAATTATTTTTTTTATTATAATTATAGAATTTCTATAACCTAACCTAATTTAGAAGGTGAGAACTTAATGTGAACAGAGATTACATCGAAAATAACCTAATTTGGCAGGTGAGGACTCAATGTGAACAGGGATTATATCGAAAATCACCAATTAAGGCATCACATATTGTGGTAATTTTTTGGCGGGCCAAAGGCCCACTGGCTGCATGACCTCCTGCAATGGACCATAGGCTAATGCGGTGGTGGTTGGTGTGGAACTCCAGTCTTCAGCTTATACCGAAGGAATTGACCATCATAATTCATAAGGACTGACTTGATTAATCAGGCAACCAGTGACAAAAGAGATTAGCCTGTGGAACTGCGGACCGTGTCTCTACTCTGTAGCCTAGGCTGCCGCAATTCTTTTCACACTGCCCTAGACCACCAACCAATACAGCAACAAGTTTTAGAAAGAAAAGAAGAAGAAGGAAATAGGCATGGTGAGGTCATCCCGGTTTCTATTGTTGCTCCTGTTTTTGTAGGCAACCTTTGGGCTTTGGCAGCTAGACTCGTTTAATCAGGTGATGACCAATTAGAGGTGGTAAAATAGACGAGATGAGCGGGATTTGCTTGGGTTTGAAATGGAATCAAATCATATGGGTTTGAGCCTAACCTTACCCATATGTGTTTTGGGACTAATTTGGACGGGATTACTTTGGAATGGGTTTAGATTGATCCCACCCAATACCCAAATCTATTTTCTACATTTTTTTTCCTTTAATTCATTTTTTATTTTTTATATAACTTTAATATTTTTGATTTATTAAATTTCTTTTAGTTTTATTAAATAAACATGCAAGTGTTTTATACTCAAGATTCTCACCAAAAAATTGGATTAACAAATAAAGGAAAAGATAGGTATATAGTCATATTCCAACATATATCAAGATGACCAAGACACTTAGGGTGTTGAATATTTATCCTGATCATTGTCCAAGGATGACAGGTCTAAACTGACTGAAATGCTGGAAATTCTTTTGGCTAATGACTAGGAAGACTGCTAGATTATATTCGCTGGAATGACTATAAAAATTGTTAAAAATAATTTTTGAATCTAAGACTCAGTTTGGATTGGCTATTTTTTCAAAAAAACTAGTTTTTCAAATACAATGTTACAGTAATATACAATAACTTAAAAAACATCCCATCCACATTAGTATATCAAATATTTCAAAAAAAATTTATAGTAAAAATTTTTCATATACACTACTACAATAAAATATTTCAAAAATACCCCAAAAAATAACTAATCCAAACGGAGCCCTTGCTATCTGAGCCCAATGGGCACCCAAGTATTTTCCAAAATTTCCCATCAATTAATGGGTACAATTGGAATTTGTCCCATTTTAAACCCAATATTAAATTCCAATACCCATCCCGCCCAAAGTCTTCATGGACATGGGTAATCCATTGGGACCTCTAAACTTGAATTAGAAGAAAAAAAAAAAAGAGAGAGAGTGCTTGTGCCTGAACTTAAACTAATTAATTTAAGCTTTTACACTTGATTAGTTGCTTGTGCTAAAACATCTGTTATACCTTACAGAGTTCTGATACGGTATCCAAATTAATGCTTTTCATTTTTTTTTATTCAAAAAAGTTGGGATGGATTCATATTATTAGATCACCAATCACCGTCACATATCAGAACATACTTCTCGGATTTTTCTTGTCCATTATTCATCCGGCTAAAGATTGTAAGCAAAAGTAATTTCGGTTTTAGCGATGATGCACAAAAGTGATGAACTTTAGGAATAACTCATGAATGGACTTAGCTTACCCAAGACATGTCGTCAATTGACTGGTCAGTGGAGTAAATTCTCCTTACCAACTTTATGTCCACTCGATGTCTCACAAGCGGAAAGCTAACAAACAACGGAATATATCAAAACCGTAATCAAATCATCAAGGGAGCCCAATGCTTTTCCTTTGTTTGTTTACTGTTTACTAGAGGTGGCAAAACGAATGGTTTTGCTTAAATGGATAATGGACAAAAATCAATCCAATCTAATTACAATCATTTAATAAATGAACCTAAATGAATAGGATAGGATTTAAATGGATGATGCAATATCATGATCCAACCATTTATTCTCCTAAGTGCTATAAATAGTTATTCATCCTACTCTAGTCAAAGTGATCAAAGTGTGGAGTATTAGAATAAGCACTCACCATTTGCAGCCTCTCTTCCTGTTATTCAAATACTGATATGTACTAATTGAAAGCATTTTTCAAACCGCTGTCCGGATTCAAAGTCAAAGGCAGCCTCAACCCACACTTATCAATAATATATCATCTTATCATCATGAAGAAGTAAGCTTGTATGTATAATATCTAGTAGGTTGCCCGAAAAGCTTGCACCCAGTTAATTCTTAGAATGGAGTTAAAAACAATCAATTTGAACTCAGAATTCAAATCTGTGTGCTCAATAAATTCACTCAAAACACTCTCCTCTGATGACAGCCGCAGCCAGGGCCTTTCCCCAAGAGAGGAACCAAAATTCTATTTTGATACAAACTTTTTGAGTTTTCCAGCGGGTCAAGAGCTCTATATTATATAGAGTTGGTTAGTGCATGTTTGAATGTGTAAGCTGCTCTAGTATGTTGTGAGACCCTATTTTTCTTTTTTAAGTTTTGATAATTGGATTTACATGGATAATATGGACTATCCATTTAAATCCACCAACTTGTGTGGGTTTAAATGGTCATCCATGCAAGTCTATCAAAAATTTTTTAGTCATCCAAGTTCATTCAGGTTAGGATAATTTGGATGCATAAATGGATATGGATCCAAATTGTCACTTCTGCCGCTTACTACACTTTATTCGTGTTTTAGCAGTATCTTGCGAATCAAAAGTTGCAGAATAATTTGTAAGTCATCCAAATCCATTCAATATAGGTTTAGGTGGATGGGTAAATGAATATGGATCCAAATTGCCACTTCTACTTCTACTGTGTACCATACTTTATTCGTGATTAGCACTATCTTGCAAGTCAGAAGTTGCAGAACAATCCTTTACGAATCAAAAGTTGCAGAATAATTCTTTTCGCTTTCCTGTGGATTATCACTTAACGACGTTCGATCTTCAATTTGTCATTTTAAGATCTTCTATCGAGTCATTTCTAAACCTCCCCCACTTAATTCCTTTCTGGCAAAATTTTAGACTTATATGTCCTAGACATTTGCTTCATCTCACTTCAATCCCGTCGTTTCGGGCAAGCTCTGGCTATGTAGCACTTGTTTGGGAACTCCAGCCAACAAATATAGCTTTTGCGCTTGCCACTTCTGATTAGTCGATTTCTGATATAGCTTTTCAAAAGATCAGACGGAACATATAAAGCCTCAACCTACCATGCTGAGATGCTAGAATCTTTAGCCTTGTACTAGCAGCATTTAATACGGGAGTGGGTTTGCAGGGACTGCCCTAAACTTGCCCAGATTTGGGCTGTCAAATTTGGGAACAAGAAATCCACGCAACGGGACCAAATTGAGCTGAGCTATGCGGCCCAATCCAGGCCACAAACTTGACCAGCAGAAGCCCCTGATCCCTTAGTACATAGCCTTTCGAAACTAAATCTAGATCAACGGAATCTGACCTAAGAAATAAGTACACAACTGATTGAAACCATCTAACTTTGCATTCTTGCTACATTTTTGTTAAATGTTTGTATGAAGACGACATCAACAGTCACGTGGCAAGTAGCACTTGTCGACCTGCTCACGAGTTACTGGGTAACGGTCACACCGATGAAATCAAGCTTCTTTGCTGAGAGCCCACAGATCATTGTTGTCAAGCTTCTTTAAATCTGCTGCTGCTGCTGCTGCTGCTGCTCGTATATCTGCATATATGCTTCCGACAGTGCTACCATCTGGGGGAGAGTTTCTGTAACATGCAGATCTTGCATCTCATACCTGCAAATACAGAACAAACACGATTGGAAGCCCATTAGTGGCATAATCTTCATGCAACTTAAAAAAACTTTGAGAACTAAGCAAAGATTACCATAATTCTTCAGACTTCCGCTGTACAAAAACCCGGTATGATCCTTCACCTGGTTTACCATCATGAACTATGTTGGCAATCAAATCGTACTTGGAGCGTAGTCTTTCATTCTGTTTGGGTGCAGGAAGTGGAATGTAGTCCTTGAGCTCCAGGTTCTTCACGGGAAAATTAACTGAGGGAAAAAAATTTAGAAAAATGAACTTAAAAGAAAAATGGGACATACAATTTAGTCACAGCATATATCAAATTAATATTATTTTCATAATCCAGCGGTAACACCTCAACAACTTTGTAAGACACAAATTAGAAGCAGCATCTCCACAAACAGGTGAAAACATGGATCTTGCAAACACGTGGAATGGGATATGCAAAGAATACCAGGCACTGGTAAGATCTTACTGTCGCACATCACTTCACAAGATTATCAAAATGCCAAGACAGGCAGGGATAAAATACAGAACTAACTAATATTGGTACCATATAGAATAGAAAAGAAACATTAGACTAGAGGAACATGAGACACCAAAAAATGAAGCCCAAAATGTCACACATCACAGCAAAATTTTTGCATGGAATTGTGTGAGAACAAGAAAACATGTATGACTTAAATCTCCATCTTGACAGTGAAAGCAACAAACAAGATTATTTGTGCTAGATTCCAAGCCGTTCATGTAATGAAACTGGCCAGACAAAAATTTCCCCCAAACTTCCCACATCACTTCCCTTCGAGGAAAGCTATCTAAAAAGTATCTGGAGAAGCAATGTGCTAATGTGAACGGAAACAGTTCCAAATGAGACAGCAGTCGCCTCATTATGTCTAGCATACATAGTTGTTGACTAAATAGCAAATAATCTCCACCTGAAAAATCATCAGGCAGAATAAAGCTATATATCAATACATCAAGAACATACAGTCTTATAGGCAGAAAAACAGAGTAATCTTTCAATTTATCCTGTACTGTGAACTCAAACAACAGCAACTCCTCCTAGAATCACGTAAATAAACAGACTCAAAAAACTACTGCAATCGGTATCTTACTACCCCCCTCCAAACACCTCAAGAAACAAAAAGGAGAAGCAGAAAGTCTGTCAAACATTACAAATACTTACCAAGGGTAGGATTTTTCTCCACAAAGAAATTATTCTTCGTAAAACGTCGCATGTGGAGAATTAAGTAAGGTGGCAATTTTGTAACACGATATTTCATCCTTGCCATCCTAGGTCGCACAACTTCTGTCACAGTCTCACCATCAAACTTTTTCAGAATGTTGAAAAGTGGAACCTGGGAGCATTTGTGACATTGAGAAAAGTGGTTTTAGCACAAAAACATTTGTGCCGAAGCTAAGCCATTGTCTTAGTTGAAAAAAATTTTGATTAGCAATATTCTGTTAGCCCCAAAAAATATAAAACAACATAATACAGATTCAATATAAATCCGTAATAAAGCAGGATTTTTTCCTTTTTTTTGGAAGGGAGGGGAAAGATGGTGAGATACAGATTCAACTAATATGAATGATACAAGGCAGACATCACAAGCATAAAAGCACTACATATCCTGTCCTGGCAAGGTATATTGGCTGTCCATGAATAACCAAGTCATCATATTTGATGCCCTTAAATAAAGCTAAGTCCAGATGCCCCAAGATAGCATTAAAGCACCAAGTATGAGATCACAGATAAATGTGGTAACCTCAACACTTAAAACCTTATAAAGCCTTTGAGGTGCTATATGTTTTGTAAGGCATGTCATATATCAACATCTATATGATTTTTCCCACATAAAGGCAACCCAAAGGTGAAGATCTCCTTCCTCCTACCAAATTGTACTGGACTCTGATCAACAACTCTGATATAGCACCTAATGTGACTAACACCACTTCACCCAGTATTCCCCAGTGATCCCCAGATCCTGCAATGACCAAAGTGGCTGCACCTCATAGCTAGTTGCCTCAGAAAATTCTTTAACCAATCTATTGTCCCCACCATAGAACAAACAGGACAGTGTCTCGCAGGGAAATTAGTTCAAATGCACAAAATTACAGTTTTGAGCATGAAACTAATGACCAACATGTTTTGCGCATTCTGATTATCAATTCTTAGAACAAGATATGAACAAGTGACAACCACAACACCAGAATTAAAAGAATGTGAAGTAACCTGGGGGATGATGTTTTTCTCCATAACATCTTTGAAGAGTGGCGGGGGTGGCAAATCTAGACCAAGCATTAAGAACGGCATTCTGGTACTTTCTGTAAAAGAACTATGCACCTCGGATCCAGTATCTACACCATTACCATTAATTACTGCATCTCCATCTACCTTTTTCTCAACAATGGGTTTGCTATGGCTTTCTTTCACTACCTCCAGTTCTCCCTAATGAAATGATAAAGGACAATTTTTTTTGCTCAAAACAAGCAACAAAAATTCATCTAGTACAACAAAAACACGCAGGAAAGCAAAGAAAACGGTTTCATTAGAATAGTACCTGAAAGCATTGGTGGATAATGCTGCCACTTTTCTTTGAACCTTTGAGATCTGCATGCAGTGTATTAAGAAGCCATGACATAAACTCAACAGGGTCAGACTGCGCACCAATTCGAAACCGTTTCTTACTGGCTTTCATAACTGCTTGTAAGAACTCATGTGGACTAACCTGCAAAATTCACAGAAGTACAGAATGAAACTCGTGAACAAGAAACAATTCCATGAACGTTCAGTACCAGTCCGAACCTGTCCCTTAAAGTTCCTTGCATGCCAAATTTTTCGAGTGAGCTCTCCAAATCGATGGACTAGTGGAGATTTGCTGTGCTGATAGTTTTCAGGGATAAGAAAAAAGTTCCTCAGAGGAGTAACACGCATTAAGGACTGAATAGTGACATTAACAAAATCTGTTTCCTTTATGTTGTTCAGCCCCACCTACAAATCAGTTCCCGTGCAAAAAACTCAATATAGGCACTAACAAGGATATAGATGACATTTCAAGTATTAAACGATGATAGCGAGACCAAACCATTCCAGGTAGATAATCTGATCCATCAAGTGCCCTAGACCATTGCTTATTCTTGTCAAGGTGCAAAACTTGTTCCCTGGTGAACCTGTTACACAGTGCCAAAACAAAGTTGGCAGCCAGCAAAGACAACAAACAGGAGACAAGGGCCAAATCTAGCATGAAAAGATAAAAAAATCCAGCATTATACATTGTAGGAAGCATTAAGCACTTTTATGAAGTCATTTTGTGGAAACTAGGAAAACTCTATAATCAGAAAAAGAATGCTTGACTTCCAGGCAAAACCTCCTTTCTTTACCTCTTCATGTCATCTACACTTCCCTCTGCGGCCAAAACGCAACCACACCGAAAAATAAAAGAAAGGGATGGGGAAAGGGAAACATGAGACATGCATGAGATTTGTTACTGAAACACATCCTATCCAATCAACACATGATATAATTGACACTGGAAATGTGAACCATAGATAAAAGGCAATCAAGAGGAAAATAAATATGTCAGCATTGACATAAAATTTTCAGACACCTTGGGTTAAGAACATGTCGAATGTCATCCAATGATGGGTCAACAATCTCATATCCATCAGGGAGGCAATAAACTTTCTCTGTCCGAAGATTGATGTAGACATGGTGTCCAGCTTCAAGACTGTGAGTATATGCATGAGATTTTTGGCCTCTTCCCTGGTAGTACTTCCCACAAACTAAACATGCGTAAACGTTCAAATTGGAAAGGGAAACTGAGCAAAACCTCTCAAAGTCAAAATCCAAAACCTGAACACAACAAAGTAGAGAATATCATAACCAGAAGCAACAACATAAAACAGTATCTTAAAACTAAAAGAGATTGTATTACATAAAAACAAATTGTTCTAAAGCATCAAAAGGACGATCATAATTATAAGCACCCAAAAAATTGGAAGCTACTGAAACCCAAGGTTCATCTGAAATACTGCAAAGAGATTTACTTAATGATAATCGACAGTATCTTACACCAGCCACTCAGGCAAACAGCCATAATTTCCAGTGAGAGGCATGTTATCTATTCCTAGATAGAAGCAATTTCAGGAAAAACAAACATGAAAAGTATTAAAAACAAGAACAAATCAACAACTAATAAAAAAAAAACATCATTATGTTATATTTAATGACTCAGTAAAGCAAAAGCATTAATCAAAATACCTGTCGATTAACAGTATCAAGGTAAGGACAGTCCCTTCTCACTTCAACAGCTCGACTGCGCTTTCCACGAGTTCCCACCATAAGAGTATCATCGTCATCTTCTTCTTCATCATATTCTTCCTTGTGAGTATTGCCATTCGGCTCTGATCCTGTGCCCCCGCTCAAAACCCTATTGAGGTTCCCTCCTCTCTTGTCATCCTCCTCGTCATCGTCGTCCTCATACGAAGCGAGAGGAAGTAAAGGATTCTCAAATGCGACCGTAGACGGCGGAGGAGAAGCTGACGCCGAACCAGAGGATTGCTCCACTATCTTCTGCCTTTTGGAACTGGAATTCTCTACCATCGTAAAAACTAAGAAATGTAATATCAAAAAGAGAGAGAAAAGAAACCCTAAATTAGCCAGCTATAAGACATAACCTCGGGATGAAGAAAGAATACAAAACATGGAGAAGAAAAACCTCCAATAATTTCACTTAATCAATAGCGTTCGAGCTCAAGCTGAAACTATCTCAATAGTTACAGAAACAAAATAGGGGAAATTTCATAGAATTTCACGTTAATGCTTGAGATACATAAAACTCTACCGAATTGCTAGTATCCGTACAACTTACCGGTGAAGAACGGCGAAAGAGAGAAACGATGAAGATTGTAGGGTTTGGATCCAATTCCAGGGTTTCGACTGATTTCTTTTTCGTTGGATGAATTGACCGGAGAAAAATGTGTAGAACATAAAACAGAAGAGCAAGGAGTGGAGGAAGAACCTGGGCTGGCTGTCAGCCGACTTTCGAGAGGATGAAATGTTATCCGGACCTTTTTGGGCTTACCGTTTGCTCCACAGGAAAAGGCCCAATTCTGTGCAGCAATTTTTCTCGTATAATTGTCCAGACTATTTTCTTGGAAGTGCAAAAATAACTCGGTCATTCTTGAGTTTTAGTTTGGGAATTGTCCGCACTCTCATTTTAGTACATGGTGGCTTAATAAATAACTAGACTACACAGTTTATAGTGATTACGAAAAAAATTAATACTTATTTAATATAAAGTGTTTAAAAATTTTAATAATTTGAAAATACATAGAACTATTACATAGAATTAAAATGAGGAGAAGAGAAGAATATATTCATAATATTGTGTTATATTCTAATTTAAAGAAGGAAAAGTAGAGAAATACGAATTGGGTAAAAATTCAATTTGGAAACAATATTTCAATATATGTATGTGTGTGTGTGTGCGCGCGTGTATTTGAAGTTAAAGTTTAGGTCCTATTTGATAATTCAATTCAGTAATAAAACTTAATGATTCAAATCTTAACATATTTAGACGCGTTTGATGACAAGAAATAGAATATTTAAGTTAATTAAGTGGCATTAAATTTTCTAAACAAAATTTGCTCCACAAAATAAGTAATAAACTATTCATTTATCACTTAATATGATATAGTCTCAAATATATCACATTTAATACTTAACAATTTAATAAATCAATGGATTTAAACTTCAGATTTTAGAATTCAATTTTCATACTTCAGTTTTAGCAAATGCACTCTTAGTTCTTGCTTTCTCTGAAAATTAAGTGAGTATATAGGTTGGGAGAAGAATGGGTTAGGTGATATAGAGGGCGGAGATCACAGGTTTGAAATCTTCCATTTAAAATAAAAACAAGGAGGAAAAAAATGAGTATGTCGGCTAACAAAATTTTTTTTTTTTGGGGTAAAAAATATATAGGCTAGCATTTGGATGTCCCAAAATTTATTTTACGTTACACAGTAATTGTATCCATCAGATGTTATACCAAACGAGGAAGAATTATCACCGCATAATTTTCTCAAGAACAGCAAACCAAGCATAACCCTCTTTCACCCCAAAAAAAAAAAAAAAAAAAACTCATTGTTCCTAGCCTTTTACTTCTCAGACCACCGTACGTTTGGAATGGCAACCACCGGAACGATGGAAGACGCGATATCCAGATTGGAAGGTGTCGTAAATTTCATCGTTTTCTAAATTGTGTGAGATATATATATATTTGGAGCTAGATATGCAAATTCCAAGATTCATGGCATGGTAGCAGTCTAATAAGTAGAAACTGCACCGGAGAATGAGGAACCAAAATAAATAAATAACAAATACAGGACCACTTTTTTCACTTACTGAAAATTGGGTCCAAAAATCCAGTCGCGAACACCCAAATTTCACTACATTCACCCAAATTTCACCCAAATTTGTTGCTTGCAATATGGACAATAATTGGAGAGAACCTGGATCCGCATGCGAGCGAGTACTGGTAGGTTATTGCAGTTTCTAACTCCAATTGTTAGTTGCTCTTCCCCAGAAAAATAGGTCAATGAAATGTCAGGCTGGGCTACCAAGGAGAAGTCATTCCTCTTTTTAAGATTGTTACAGGCCAAGCTTAAGTTTATTGTGAATAACACTTCAAAAAGGAAAAAAAAAAAAAAAAAAACAATGACCTTACTTGTACCAAGAGAATGATAAACAACAATCTAGAAGCTAAACACTTCGAGCATCAATCAATCAATCATTGACAGATTTTCTTTCTTCCTCTCTTTTTCTTCTCCATTCCATTTTTTTTTTGTCGATTGCTGTCTGTTCTCTCCTCCTTCCTCGAGAAAGTTTGAAGAAAGATTGGCATAACTAAGCTACAACCCAAACAGAGCTACATTCTGCGGCGAGGAAACTAGATTTCCAGCAAAAAGCATCAATTATTGGTTGCCTGCCACTCTTTCTTGATTTCAAATGTGTAGTTGATCTCCAAGTAGCACTTATTATCATCATCAAGAAACTGTACCAAAAAAGAAACAGAGAAAAAGACAGGAAGCAGGTTAGGATAGCAAAAGGATTAATAATTATTATTCCTCAAAATGGCCTCATTGAACCCAAAGAAAAGATGCATGAGTTTCCAATAAAGCCAAATTTTCAAAATCTCATTATCTGGAACTTCATCTTTACATATGCTCAGCTCAGTTGTTGTCAGCATCAATTGTCGTCAAATAAAGATCTTGGATTTAGCATCAAGAGAACATTTTGAAGTAAGCTGTCCTTAAGACCTTACTTAAATGCTTAGAGCATTAAATGCAAAAGACAGGGAAAAGGCAAAAGACAGAAGATGGTCCACCAGTATTCAGTTTAGTTATCCTTTTTCCGATGACTGAGAAACTCAGACTTTTTCGTTACTAAAGTTGACCTGCGAGAAACCTTCAAAAGCCGGCAACTTTTGAAGGCTCCCGCAGACCTTAATAAACCCAAACCCCAAACCCCCCCGAACCGATGTGGGATAGAAACCCCACAGGGGTGCCCCGCTGCTAAGAAGTAAAGACCCCCCAGACACCCACTGAAATGGAGAGATCACCTCCCCGAGGTTTCTGTCTTTTTCCGATGACTGAGAAACTCAGACTTTTTCGTTACTAAAGTTGACCTGCGAGAAACCTTCAAAAGCCGGCAACTTTTGAAGGCTCCCGCAGACCTTAATAAACCCAAACCCCAAACCCCCCCGAACCGATGTGGGATAGAAACCCCACAGGGGTGCAGTTTAGTTATCCCACCATGTGCAAAAGTGATCAAACTGACATTGATCCATCAATCCACCAACAACAATATACCAGAGGTGGCTGCCACCTTAATAATTCCCACAACCAATTGAAAACAACCAGTCAAATGGTGATTATGTTTAACGACAAAGAGGGAATTCTCATTGCAGCAGAAGCTATTCAATGTATGGTAGCAGGACTTTGGGGAAATACTTTCTCCACCCCTTTAGGCAGTTAAAAATGAGTAATTTGAGCTTGCAGAGGCAAAATGGAAAAAGTGCAAAACTCACCTTTGTTCGAGCTGAGTATGATCCTCTTGCAAACATGCCAGAAGGGGTTGTCTCTTCTGGCATTTTATGTGTGTAAGGTTCTGCCTGCGGACTGAAGGTTCCTATCATTTGTTTTGTACTGTCCACTGAAATAAGAGTCATAAAAGCATCAAGATTCATATGAGAGCATCAACAGCCTTGACATTTTGCGCTACAGTATTCGGAAAGGGTAAGGAGAGCGTACCTTTAATACCAGTTTTCCAAACTGTATTTGTGTATTTGAGGCCTGATACTATGTTATTGTTGACCTGGAAAGTGAATTCGAGGCTGTAACGGCTGCCTTCTTTCAATGCAAACCATGGCCCTCCTGGCTTTCCATCCTCAGGAATCGGAAGAAAAATATCAGATCTTCCAGGAGACTTGATTGCAAGACTTAAGATCCTCACTTCAGGATCCAGAGTCTCTATAATATCAAGGCCGTGAGAAAAGAAGAAATTGTAAGAAATGCATTCAAGCAGCAGATTCTTATTAAACAAAAACAGCATTCATGCTGCTCATGAAAAGCACATTCAAAATTTGCATTTGTCCCATGTGCTGCCGAAGTTATTTATGTTGCAAAATAAGAAATGATGCGGAGCATACGGACCGGACGAAGAAAATCTATCATAAACATTTTAAAATTTTGAAACCTGTTTTAATGGCCTTTTTTCTCATTACAGACATTTGAAGCATAGCAGCAGAACTTTAAGCCTTTTTTTTTTTTGAAAAAAAAAAAGAAGTGGACGTGATATCACTTTGGTTCGTATGTTCAAAATCGAATCTCAAGCAAATAGTGAATGAGAAGCACAGGTGCTTTAACTTTATATGACGCGTACATTACTTAAAATGATTGCGATGGACAGGCTTTACCCTGCAATGACCATCTGAAATTACCCCTCTTTGTTTGATTAAAAATTTAATCTTGATACAGTCAGAAAACAGCACCAGTTTAACACAGATCGGCCATCTACTTATAAGTTTCTGAAACAAACGTGGCATCCATTAGTCAGGGAACTTCAGCCATCAGACAGAACAGGGACTCCTTTTTATCCCCCAGGGTTCAAAATTGTAGCGTTAACTCAAAATTCGAATCTTCTTGTCTGAAGGGGGAAAAAGTTCGCTCATATCCTGTAACTTTATCTTTCTATAGTTCCTTCCTTAAGGGACAAAGCTACTGTTTACGAATTACAGAAATCAAAATCAGGCTTTATAGGTTTACAGTTTATTGTATTGTGGATACAAATTTGTTGGTCGTGACAAACTACTGAAAGCCAGAAATTTGGCAAAATTATGTTAGCAGATTTGAATTCTGTGATAAATATCTCTAGCATGTATCTTCATTTTCACCGGAAAATGGGGTTGCAAATGGAACTTAGAAGATGACAAATTGAACTGTCTTTTCGAGTCAAATGCATCTGAATCCTCATGTATGGAAAAATTCGTTCAGCAAAGATAAAAGCAAGAACACATTTACCTCCAACAGAATTGATATCAACACTCCCGAGGAGTTGCTCCTTCCACCTTCTCAAACTCTCATCATCCTACACTTTTTGCAATACAAATTATCAGACATGAGACAGAAATGCCGATTAATCAGGGAAGACAAGATGAAAATAATTCGAGCAAGGACAGACCTTATCCTTCTCTTGAAGTTCTTTGAGGGTAAATTGAGGGCCTAATTGTATATTGGCATCAGAATCTTCATCCTCCTCGTCTTCCGTGGTATAAATAGAGCTCTCACTCATCTGCCTGTTGATTTTTTCAACAGATTCTTGCTCAATCTCAGGGTCAACTGGCCCCGTTTTACCAGCATTAGTTCCTGGAGCAGGACTTGTTCCCCCATTCTTCTCATCCCCATTGTTCTTATCATCAAACCCCATGCTACTACTCTTGGAACTTGAAACAACTCCAACAGCCAAAGACATTAACAACAACAAACCATTCAACAAACAACTAATACAAGCAGAACCTCCTCCCCCTGTCAAAGGAAAAAAAAAAGAAAGAAAAGAAAAGGAAAAGAAGGCCACCCCTTCACTCCCTGAATTCAAATCACAACAACCAGAAGAGGATAAGAAGAGGGGGACAAAACAGGAAGAATCTCCTTCCCTCAATGGAAACAACAAATTGAAAATGTCACGCCACGGATAGAGAAGGGTGGGGTGTGTGTGGGGGGTGGTGGGGAAGGTTATTCTTTAAGCTAAGAAGTCAAAAGAATCCAAAGAAAAGGTGAGGAAAGGAAGGAAACAAACTGGGGTGGCAAAAGAGATTTTTAAGAGCAGAAGGCTTGTTGCTGATATATGTGAAAGTGAGAAAGAGCGGGGTTGTTTGAGGAAATGGAAGCAGGGAACGAAATGGTCATGTGGTGATCCGGGCTTGCGAATAAATGAAAAAAGTAATGAATGCGAGAGAGAAAGAGAGAGGTGGTGAGATCGTGAAGGTCACTTAGTGGCAGTAGGTTTCACGAAGACCACGATTCGAGGGGGCTTCTACACATATGATATGAGGACAGCCTCGGATTGGGTGGACGATGTTTAGTTTGTTTGACCCCTTCTTATTGGACGACTCCTAAGTCCTAACTCCCCTCTTCCTCAGTCTTAGGCAGCCTTAATGCTTATACACTCGTACTCACTCACTCCCGAAGAAACTCAACTCAAAACAGAACAGATTACTGCAATAAACACCTTTTCATCACATAACTCATCTGTTTTTTGTCAAAGTTTAGGTACAAAATTGCACTGTAATTCATTCCAATCCAAGTCGTAATCTTTTACTAATGGTGTAATAATCATCATCTTTTACTAAGTATTATTTTTTTCTTGGGGGGGGGGGGGGGGGAGGTACAAATTGCATAATGATCTGGCCGCTGTTGGCCATTGATATCGCTACACATTCATACCACAAAGATTTTTGGTTGATATCATATACGGCCGTACCTTTTTTAACACTAGTACCGGATTTTTAACACCGGCTCATTCAACGGAGTGACTAATGCTGTCCACTCAATGCTGTTGGCAAGTACACAAGGACAGAAAGACCCCAAACAAAAAATGAAAATGCCTTTTGTTCGATGTATGTACATCTCTAGATTTTAATAATATCTTGCTTTGACAAGAAAGAACCAAACTTTTTCAACAATCGGAAGTTGGCAGTACTGTTTCTTTCTTCTCCTTTAATTAATCTCAGGCGAGAACTTCTGCTACAGTGAAAACTTAGCAGTCCAATGGGAGAATGGATACCATTTTTTGCTTTCTGTGTTAAGCTGCTTTAAGATTATTCGTCAATCACATTTTTACCTCTCAGAAACTCTTAGAACATGCAATCCACGTAACCTCTGCCAAAGTTTAACTGTGTCAATTATGCATTATACTAGTACATAATTTTATCTTCATATTAATATTGTCAAGCACAGCAGGTGAGCAGAGTTCCCCAGAAATAATGACAAAATTATTTGTTTGGCATTACTAAGTACAAACACCAAAGTACACCAAAACTGCATTGGACATCGAACTGTGGAAAACATATTACTGCTAGTTGATTTTTTCAAGTAAGGTTAGTTGGGTCAGTAATCTATCCGCCGCTATTTTCAACTGCAATGATCAAACCAACTCACAGCTAATCAGTAACCCGAGAACGGCAAATTCTTTTGCAGCTCCATTTGGTAAGATTCGGGACATTATGTCTCTGGAGCGTTAAATACTAATAATAATGACTTCTTGGATAGAGGTCATTTGTACAAAGTTGCCTCGACTCGAATCACTGGATGCCCAGCCCCAGCAGATGATGATGATGATGATGATATAAACAGATGCAAGAAAAGGAGATCTGCAAGTTTGCGAGGCGATAATTGACATAATTAACTGGCCCCATATGATTCAAATTGATGTACCATAACTGGTAGGTTGACTAATAATTTGCCCGGTTAAATGCTTACGCTTGATGAAGCTTTATTAGTTCGGGCGCATGATTGATGTTGAAACTTTACATTCGTCAAATCCGCAGCATAATCAGGAAATGTAATCAATTTCGCCCCAAGAACAAACTTCAGGGTCAAGCGTATTCATGAAGGTTGGATGATTTTGTTTTGTGTGGTTTACAACAGCTTCCCCTTCAATTCACTCCTCTGCTACTGGATGGAATAGAGAAATATTGAGACGAGGTGAGGCGGACAGCTTACCGGATGGCTCTTTATGCATTTACTGTAGAAAACGTTTCCAAATTTGAAATGTGTGGAGATAACACAACACAGACACCATCATCAGTGGCACTGGGAATTTGAACATTAATTTGCCTGGTTCGGCATCCCATATTTCTCATGTTTGCACGTACACATTAATTTGCTCAGTGAAGTATCATGTATTTTTCATGTCGCCAATCCATAAATGCATGAGCCGATTTTCTTTGGAATTAGTACAAAATTTTAGGATTGGAGGCAAATTCCACTAATAACATAAACTAACAACAATGAAAAGCCATTTGCATTCAGCTTGATTGGGAATATGACTTCACCATTACAAGAGACGGAACTGATCCTATGAGCCTTCTGTCAGAGGACCAGGGGCACCTAGCAGGGAAATCCTATTTGCATAGTGGTGCTATATCTTCAGAAAAAAAAGTGACAAGTATCTTAAAAAGACCAATATAATTAAAGGAAGGACTCTTAGAGAACCAAAATTGCTGTTGCAGGCGGACCAAGCAATCAACTACTTCCCCATTTCTTCATTACACTCTCTCTAGCAGAAACGGGGGCAGAAATTTGCCTCTGTTGAACTGTACGAAGACTAGGATTTGTAACTGAATTTAACTTTTCCCTGACTAGAGTTGTTAAGAAGGTAAGCCCATTCCTTGTTCCACGCAGAAGAAACAACAAAGGATTGAGAACAACGGCAATCATCAGATCACCCTTTGCAATAATCAGATACTGTAGGCATGTATAATAGGGAATTAGAGATATGATATGTAGATAAAGAAAAAACTTTGTAAAAATAGGAACAGTGAACAAGGAACTAAATCAAGTCCTTACCATGCCAATAATACCTAAAATTGTGAGACTAGTCTGCTGCGCCTCTTCCCAGAAATGGTCATCATCAGACCCACCAAACCATCTAAACCAACCTCCTCTCCCAGAATTACCTCCTCCACCTGCCTGTTCTCTTCGCTTAAGTTCTTTGTCCCATTTCTCAAACTCAGTCTTTTTTCCCCCAAGGGCACTTTCTAAAGCTTTTCTAGCCTCCTCCTGCAGAAGAAAAGGATGATACAAGTCAATCAGATAGGATAAGACCTAAAAAAAATAAAAGGCTGAGAAAACAAAAAAAGAACCAATGAACACAAAAGAGGTCATTCAGGTAGTTTTTAAGTATCACTGCAACCAGAAACCTCTATTCCAATTTATCAGACTTAGAAAGCAGGTCATCATTTTGACAGAGCATTCCTCGAATTTTGTTTACATAAAAATATACAATTTGCAAGACAATGAGGTTCATGATTCATCCCTTCACTGCTCCAAGTAGACAAACAAGAGAAGAAGGTGTTCGATCCAAATTTATCCAGTAAAAATGGAAGATTTGTCACATACATTTTTGCCAACATTTAAGGGCCTACTTTGTGGATTTCTTAACACTGAATTTGACGCTGATCACAACAGAAAGATGGAAGAATGGCATCCTCCAAGTGTTTTAACTGTTCTAGAAGGGAATGGAGAAAAAAATCATAATTAAACAAACCAATTGTTACATCAATCAAAACTCCTCACTCTGAAACCAAAAAGTTCAGTACCATCCACAACACAAGTCTAATCAGAGACAAAATTAACTATCGATCATCGAGCAACATGAAAGAGTACTTCCCTGCACATGCACTTGCAATTTGATCTATAACATCTAAGTGATTAGCAGCAGAGTACAGAAGCAAAATAGAACAACTTGACCAAATACCACTAAAATTAACAGAATAGGAGTCCCAAGAAAAAAAGAATGCCAGGACTGAAGCAGATCTGTCAATTACCTTATAATGCCAGAACTTCACCAATCATTGTAAATGACTCGTAAATTTACAATACGACCAAGATTTTCTGCTATAAGGTAGCTCAAAAATCAGCAGTCCGGATTACTATAAAAGCTATTAATTATCTGAAACCAGAATTTCCAATAGTGGCTAATCATTTTCTTTTCATGCTTTCACTTTCAGATATGCAACATTGGAAGAATCACCAAAAGGCACAATGCATCATGGCAATAACTTCATTTACTTCCAGCGTGTAAGCAGGACTAATTGTTAAACTAATGATACCTCGCATATGATAAATATTGCTGTGAACAAATATTCACACCACTCATGGTTTGGACTTTGATTCGAAATCTGGTCCACTTTTGCACTTGCCACCCTCCCCCAGTCTCCATCTGTCAGAAGCAGTCCCATAAGCCAGCAAGAACAGAAACATTAAATGGCTTGCATCAAGTCTAGCAAACCATATCCAGGTCTTATTGCTTGATCACCGACCATTCACCTCCAATATTCACATTATATTCCAAAAGGCCTTTTTTTTTTCAATCGTCTTCTTCTGAACCTACCAAAACTTGTATCAAATGCACAAAGCAATAAGGTCAAGTTTACCAATGAGATTTAGCTACGTGGTACTAGAGTCGGCTCCAGAGCTGTGATATCTTGAGTAGGAGCCCAAGCTGGAGCCCAATTTTCCAACCCAAAACGAAAGACAGCTCTCAGGTTGGTTTTATACATGTCACTCTGTGTGTAATTGATAGTAGGTCAAGTTTGCTACTTTTGAGGTGTTCGCCATATTCTAGGTTAAGTGCTACATCAATTAGTTCTCATTGCTATATTAGTTAGTCCAAAAGCTGAAATCTTCATATTAAAAACATCCTCAAATTTCAAGAAACCCTAATTAAAAGAAACATTAACGCGTAAAAAATATCCCTTTCCAACCTTTCAAGACTTCTATTTTAATGTTTCACTGTTAACCCAAAAACCAGATTAGTAACAAAATCCACCCAGAGCGTTTAACTCCAATAACACACTTGAAAGGGAGGAAAAGACAACAGCGGAAAAAAATTAATGAATAGCTGAACTTAGACAATTAGTCCTGAAATATCTTTATTTGAACTAGTATGAATTACACAGAACTATTTCCATGACTTCTCTTGCAAATAGTTTGCAAAATTTAGTTTGATAAATTCTACTGACAGGGTAACACAAACTATTCATTCAATAATTTATTCTCAAACAACAAAAGGGAAAATAGTGGAAGGTCTGAGAGGGGATGGGATACCTGTTTGCGATTGTTGGAAAATAGGCAAGAAAATCTGCCGTTGCATTGGAGGCTCTGCTGAAGAGATGCCCAGGTGGGGTTGACTCGTGCTGAGTTGTTGTAGCTGGTTAGTTGATTGCGAGCTGAGTTTTTGCGGGGCGGTGATGATTTCCGGTAGTGCAGGGTCGGCAACGGAGGCCTCTGGCTCAGAACCTGCGCCATTGTTTTTCTTCCCGGTACTCTGCGTTAATCCCCTTGTACAGACGTTCGCATGATAACATTATGTCCTATACGCCGTCGTACTTGAACGAATATTTTCTTTTGTTCTTTCTTTGTTAGAGTAATGGTAGTGTAATACTACTCACTATTGTTATCGAAATAATTAATAAACAAAGATTTACTAATAAACAAAGATTTATAGTAGTACTACCCTTCTAGTATGCATCGGTAGCACTTTTTTTTTTTTTCTTGAGTCCCCCATAATTTTGAAAAAATCGAAAAGTTTGCCCGAACCAATTTGGCTCATGTATCGAGTCTCAATAAGTTGGAATTAGGTAAAATCAAGATACATTTAATCACTAATATTGGTAAAACAATTTACTAATGCATATTAAAGTAAGATTATCTAATACCAACCAAATCTCCAAAATTACTAATAACAATATTATATATCCCGTGCCTATATATATATATAGACACGCACACACATATACATATATGTATGTATGTGTGTATGTGTGCATAAAACTACTAATACATTATCATTAATGAACACCAACAAACTATAATTTATTGATTATTGACTAATTTGCTAATCTAATATATGGAATTAGAACCACTAGGGCTGGTCTAGCGATCAATAATAAGCTCTTAAAGTTCATTCTATTGTTAGATTCAATTTTGAATCTTAGGTCTAACAGCTGATGATGGGAAGGGTGAAGAGGTGATTTTCGTTCCGCTGGAGTAAGTCACCCGAACTGGAGAAGTATTTTTATCTTGGGCAGCTCTCTTGGACGTGGTCACCTGCTTGGGTAGTAAGAGGGGCTGAATCCCCTGGTATAACTCTGAATCTCAAGTTAGTTCGGTTGTAAGGAGGTAGTATAATAGAAGGGAGTAGTATGTTACCAGAGAATTGGTCATCATCCCTTTCTCAATAGAAATGTTGAGAATTTACAGAGGAAGGATAGGAGAGAGGGACTGTCTGCACGAGTCCCTAAAGATCTGAGATGGTCAGTGCATCCGGTAGACTTGACCGATCTTTATGAGATGTGAGGGGACATCTGTCAGGTTCAGGCGGCGTGTCAGAGCAGCCTTCCCAGGTGTCAGATGTGTCAGGAGTCACATCGTACCTTTCTGCAGTTATCAAATACTCAAGCGTCACTTCGGCTAACGATCTTAGCCGAAGTGGTAATGAGGTGGGTTCCAAACCAACAGGTCTTGCCGAGGTGGCACTTCAGGAGGCACTCCATGAGCCGAAATGACCATCCTCACTAAGCCCCCCAAGCTTCGAGAAGAGCGAGGTCGGGGTCTCCCGAGGTCGTCACTTCCCGAAGCTGACGCGCGTGTAGAACACGGAACATGGCAAGGACACGTCACGACTGTGTAGATGTGACTGGGGGAAGGTGAAACGGGGGCTGGCAGCTTTAACGTCGGATCAATACGATCGATTGTCAGGTGAACAGCACCTTCATTAATGAGGGGAGAGAGAGCTTTAGGGAATCCCAAAGATCGCGTCTCTTCGGTTCCCCCCTGTTGCCTATAAATAGGGGTTTCTTTTCACCGTTCCATTCTTTACCAAAATTTGAAATCACCTCAGAGCTCTGTCTCTTTGCTTTTTCACTTCGGCAATCTTTCCAACCTACATCTTCTTCAGCAACTTCTTCACTCCGCATCTCCTAAGTAAGTTCACTTCTTCTTTCTGTATTAATGGCTAGAACAGCTCGCACACACAAAGAGACGGTGAGGCCTGACTTCACCGAGGCAGAGAGGCCCGACCCTTCCGATGAGAGAACTGCATCCGACGCCGAGGAAGGAGGTGCGGAAGCGTCTTACTGAGCCTGGGGAGGAGGTGCGGAGACATCTCGCCGAGCTGAGTCTCCGGAAGAACAGGCCGAAGAGATTGAGGTCGAGCCCGAGGTCTTGTACAATGATGACCTCGGGAACGAAGTTCCTAGGGACGAAGGTGTACAGGAGCCCTCCACTCCTCCAAACGTGGCCACGCTAAACTATGGCCAGATGCCGGCCTTCATCAGTGAGGTGGACCAAGATTCCATAGCCGAGGTGATCCGCAAGTACCCGTGGAGGAGGGATTATAGTATCTACCTGCCGCGCCCACATCAGTCCGCCGCCCTGCCTCCAAAGGGTAGGGTAGCCATCTACATAGAACAGCTGGAGGCCGGGCTCAGGGTGCCAACTACGAGGTTTCTTCGGGACTGCCTGAGGTACTGGGGGGTGAGGATTACTCAGCTCACCCCAAATGCAATTCGCATCCTCGTCGGCTTTCAGCTACTCTGCCGACATCAGGAGATAGAGCCGAACGTCAACCTCTTCCGTCCTTGTTATTCACTTAAGAACAGCGGGAGCGAGAAGTGGTGGTTCTACTTCGGGAACAAGGTTCCAAGGTTGGTATATGATGCCCCGAGCTCAATAAAGGAGTGGAAGATGAACTTTTTCTTCGTCCCGGCTGAGGACTTCCCCAGGGGATTCTGGTGGAGACCTCCCACTTCGGTCAAAGAAACCTCCCGTGGCAAATTGGAAGAACGCAACTTCCAAAAGTTGACGGGGTCGGGCCTGAAGATTAACTGTTGGGACTTCCCTGAAAGAGTGCTCGTGAAGGGCGAGCTCAGCCGAGCCTTGATAAGCTCGGGCCATCCCGTCCTCATCTCCACTAGGCTTCACATACCTTGTACTTTTTCATTTCTCACTTTCTTGTTTATTTTCCTTGAATTCTAACTAATTTCATTTCGTGCTTTGCAGTAATGAAGGTTTCCGACCTGATAACCTTGGGAGAGGTCGAGGTGGCAAAGAGGCCAGCCAAGAAGCGCAAGGAGGCTGGTGAGTCCTCATCCAAGCCGGCTAAGAAGACCACTGCGGCGGCAGGCACTCGCGAGCCTGCCGTGGTGATCATAGGCGAAGGGTCGCACACCTCGGGCACGCCAGGAAGGTCCAGAGCGTCCATTCCAGTGGGAATTCCATCCCATGGAATAACCATAGCCTCTCAACCTCGGGGCCGGGGTCGATGTGCGACCGTTGTCTAGGATAACCCCGTCACGGGGTCCTCATTATTCAACCTCCACCATGTGCTTTCTCTTGCAGCCGGGGAGGACAAAAGGCACTCGGAGGCACATTTCTGTCCGGAGTGGGAAGTCAATGTCAATGACTGCTGCAAGAATCCCCAAGTTGCACACGAGCTCCTGGTGAATTCGGTTCTGCCACGGGACAACACTTACACCAGGAAACTGAATCCAGCCGAGCTGATGCAGAGCGCCGCGGTCTCTTGGGCTTCCACTACGGCGTTCCTCGCCGAGATGTACCAGCGCTTCGGTCACTTCATAGAAACTTACGAGTCACCGACCGAGCTCCAAAAGAAGATCACCGAACTGGAAGAAAAGCTAAAGGCCACCGAGCTGGAACGGGACAAGGCCACAGCGGCGAAGAAGAAGTTCGAGGTCGCCAATAACTCCCTCTTGACTGCCCTTGATGAGGAGAAGAACAGGAGAGTTCAGGAGGAAAAATCAAACAAGGAGGCCATCGACCAAGCCGGGGTTACTGCCGTGGTGGCCTTCCGGAAGTCAGAATCATTTACTCGCGACCTCGGCGAGCTCACCAGGCCAAGTTTCATGTTCGGCTATACCTCGGCCATTAAAGAGGCAGCGCCCTTCCTTACTTCTGAACAGTTGGAGTCCCTCCAAGATGCTCAACATTACAATGAGGACACCAAGGAACTGTACGACCGTATGGCTGAGGGCATCCAATATGGGAAAGACTTAGCCGAGGTCCGTGCTGAGTTCAACAAATGGCTCCAAGAGTTTGATTTAGATGATGAGGGCAGTGAGGGGAACAAGGCCGGCGGAGGAGATGGACAGCAGGGAACCGAAGCGGGGGGTGAGACTATGGGGGGCCAGAACCCCGGAGGAGGAGATGCTTAGAAGCATCTATTTTTGCAATAGGTGGGCCGAGGTCGTAGATAACCTCGGCCATTAGCTCTTGTAATTGGGGGCCGTGGTCATGAATGACCTCGGCCTCTTGCTTTTCGTATTTCAATAAATTTGGCTTTTTTAATCTTGCATATTTTTACCTCCCTTTCAATTGAGTTCAGTTTTTTTCTTTTAACTACTGCTTTGTCCCCTTATTTGTCACTTGTAATGAAATAAGAACGGGTGAGAAATAACTTAAAAAAGTGAGATTTAAGAACACGTACCCTTCAAGGGTAATACAACTTAAGGTTCTCAGCATGCCAAGTTCGGGGCACACGCGAACCATCTCGGTAAGCCAGTTTACAATATCCATTTTGGCTGGACTCAATAACACGGTAGGGTCCCTCCCACTTGGGGTTAAGTTTTTCCTGGGGTTCAGCTCGGCTAACCGAATTCTTCCGGAGTACCAGGTCTCCTGGACTGAACCTTAGGTGTTTGACCCGAGCATTGTAATAACCAGTTAGGATATTTTTATAAATAGCAACTTTGGCCGCAGCCATATCGCGCTTCTCCTCGGCGAGGTCGAGATCAACCCGTCGCTCCTCTTCGTTGACCTCGGCAGCGTACGCGGCCATTCGCGGGTTGGGAGTGATGAGCTCGGCCGGAACGACAGCCTCGGATCCATAAGTTAGAGAGAACGGTGTTTCTTGAGTTGCTGACCTCGGCGTGGTTCGGTAGGACCACAGCACGCTGGGGAGCTCTTCCATCCATGACGATCCAGCCCGGTGAAGCCTGGTCTTGAGGCCATGGAGGAGAGTTCGGTTGAAGTTTTCGGCTTGTCCATTTGCCTGAGGGTGTCCCACCGAGGTGAAGTGCTGTTTAATTCCCAAGTTTTCACACCCCGTTTTGAAAGGATTGTCCGCGAACTGTCTGCCATTATCCGAGATGACCACCCGGGGCAAGCCGAAGCGACAAACCACATTTTTCCAGAAAAATTTTTGAATGGCCACTCCGGTGATGCTTCTCAGGGGCTCCGCTTCGACTCATTTGGTGAAGTAGTCCACTGCTACCACCACGTAGGTATAACCACCCGGAGCCCTTGGAAATGGGCCGATTATGTCAGTTCCCCACTGCTCGAAGGGCCACGACGAGGTGATAGGAATCATAAGATTGGTTGGTTGGTGGTGCTCAGGGGCATGGTGCTGACAAGAAGGACAGCAAAGGACCATAACCTGGGCATCTACCCTCATGGTGGGCCAAAAGTACCCCAACAACAAAGCCTTTTTCACGAGCATCCTGAAACCGACGTAGGCACCACAGAGTCCCTCATGAATGTCTTGAAGAATTCTATCGCCTTCTTCTGGGGTGATACATCGTAGCCATGGGCCGAGGTAGGACCTCTTGTACAAGAGGCCCTGTCGAAAGGCGTACCGAGCTGCTTTACGCTGAAGTTTGCGTGACTCAGCTCGATCTTCGGGGAGTTCACCTCGGCTGAGGAATCGAACTAGCGGTCCCATCCAGGTGTCCCCAGGGTAGATGGGATACACCTCTTCCCCTTCGTACCCCGGTTCGGCTAGAACTTCTACAAGGACCGTTTTGTTCAGGTCAGAAAAAGAGGTAGAAGCGAGCCGGGAGAGAGCATCAGCTCTCCTGTTCTGTGACCGTGGTATCCTCTGGATTTCAAAAGACTAGAAGTGTGCCACTAGCTGGAGGACCTTGGAGAGGTATCGATGCATCACCTCTTCCCTGGCCTCGTATTCGCCTAATATTTGGCACACGACGAGTTGAGAGTCGCTATAGACCATGATATGCGCGGCCCCGAGCTTGCGAGCTAACTGCAGGCCGGCGATGACTGCTTCGTATTCGGCCTCATTGTTGGAAGCAGCAAAATCAAACCTCAAGGCATACGAGCAAATTTCTTCTTGGGGATCTTCGAGGAGCAAGCTGGCTCCACTACCCTCACTATTGGATGAGCCATCCACATGCAAGGTCCATCGTTGAGGCTCGGCGGTGGACGAGGTGACAGCTTGGGTAGTAGCCGGGATGGTCCCATTCACTTCCTCAAAAGTAAGCTCGGCAAGGAAATCCGCGAGAGCCTGGGCTATAATTGCCGTGCGAGGCTCATAGGATAAGTCGTATTCTCCCAGCTCGATGGCCCACTTGGTGAGGCGTCCAGAGGTTTCCGGTCGCGATAGGACCTGCCGAAGTGGTTGGTCTGTCCTCAGGCAGACGGGATGGGCCAGGAAGTAGGGCTTAATCCTATGAGCTGCATGAATTAAGGCCAGCACAAGTTTCTCCTCCTGAGTGTACCTGGTCTCCGGACCTCGGAGGACTCGGCTAACATAATAAACAGGTGTTTGGACACCTTCCTCCCTTATCAGTACGGCACTTACAGCTTCAGCGGCAGCAGATAGGTACAAGATTAACTTGTCCCCTGGGCGAGGTGAAGTGAGTGTTGGGAGGTGGTTGAGGTACTCCTTTAGTTGCTCAAACGCCTGTTGACACTCTTCAGTCCAGGAGAAGTTGTTGGCCTTTTTGAAGACTTTGAAAAATGGCAATGCCTTGGAGGCTGAATGCGATAGGAATCGATTCAGGGCGGCCAACCGCCCCGTCAACCTTTGGACATCGCGGACGCACCGAGGTGGAGACATTTCTTGAATTGCTTTCACCTTGTCTGGATTTGCTTCAATACCTCGCCTGGAGACGAGGTAGCCCAAAAACTTCCCCGAAGTTACCCCCAGGACACACTTCTTGGGGTTTAGCATCATTCGCGTCTTCCGAAAGACTTCCAGGACTTCTTTCAGGTCGGCAAGGAATGTGGAGGTTGTCCGACTTTTGAGGAGGATATCATCTACGTAGGCCTCAACCATCCGGCCGATCTGAGACTTAAAGGCTTGGTTAACCAAGCGTTGGTATGTGGCCCCGGCGTTCTTCAATCCGAAAGGCATAGTGGTGTAGCAATATGTGCCTCGGTCAGTGTAGAAGGAGGTCTTTTCCTGATCCTTCGGACTCATTCCGATCTGGTGGTACCCTTTGAAGGCATCAAAGAAGCAGAGGACCTCATAACCCATTGCCGAGTCCACCAAGGTATCGACCTTGGGCAACGGGTAGCAATCCTTGGGACAAGTTTTGTTGAGGTCGGTGAAGTCGACGCACATTCTCCAAACCCCAGTGTCCTTCTTTACCATGACCGGGTTGGATAACCAGGTCGGATATTGGACCTCCCGGATGATCTTTGCAGGGAGGAGCTTGTCCACCTCTTCGCCAACAGCTCGGCTACGCTCAGGGCCGATGTGCCTTATTTTCTGTTTGACCGGGCGGATTTGGGGGTCGACGTTCAACTCATGTATCATGAGGTGATGCGGGACCCCTTGAACCTCCTCTGCGGCCCAAGCAAAGACGTCCCGGTATTCTCTGAGGAGGCTCACCATACCTCTTTTGACAAGATTGGGCAATCGGGTACCGACCCGAATCGTTTGATCAGGCTTCGTGGGGTCCAGAGGGAATTCTTCCACCTCATCCCCAGTCTCCAGCCTCGGGATCTTCTCAGCTCGCTGAGGATCGATGCTATCTATTGAGAGGATATTTGACTTCCTCTCGGGCCTTGCTCCGGAGGTGGACGGGGAGGCTGCTTGTAGAGTGGCGAGATAACACTCCCGGGCAGCGCAGACGTCGCTGCTGACCTCGGCTACCCCCTCTGGAGTAGGAAACTTAAAGCTTAGGTGATAGGTGGAGTATACTGCCCGCAAAGCATTAAGTGTAGGTCGGCCTAGGAGTAAGTTGTATGGGGAGTCAGTCTTGACCACTACGAAGTTGACGGGGATGGTTCTGCAGCGGGGGTGATGCCCTACAGTCACTGTCAAAGTCACCATCCCTTCGGGGTGCACAATGTGTCTCCCGAACCCGACAAGAGGGGTTCTCACCGGGGTCATGCACTCCCTGGCCAGTTTAAGGCTCTCAAAGGTACGGAGGTACATGACGTCAACTGAACTCCCCGGGTCAATGTATACCTTTTTCACGATGTAGTTATTGGTGAGGATTTCAATCACCAAAGCTTCATGACTGCTGGAGGCAGCTGGGATGGGATCACTGGGCCCGTAAGTAATCACCTCGGACAGGCGAGAGCTCGACTCAGCCTGATCCGGGTTGGCTTGTCTGTAGGTCCACTTCCGGGAGTTTTGACTATCTCCTCCCGTCGGACCTCCGGCAATGGTGTTGATGACTCCGGCAATATTTGGTCCATATCCTAATCCTTGACCTGAGGATCCGTCTCCGGGTGGCCTCTTCGACTCCCTAGGATCCTCAGGAGGTCGACAACTGGTTCTCGACGTCCGCCTCTCATCTTGGAGTTGGTCACCTCGTTTATCACGTTGATTCTCATCACGCGGATGACCTCCACTTAGGCGGATGAACTGCTTGAGGTGGCCTTGTCTAATGAGGTTCTCGATCTCTCTCTTGAGATCGTTGCAGTCCTCGGTTTCATGTCATATATCTCGGTGATATAAGCAATAGAGGGTCGAGTTCCTCTTGTCCCTGTTGCCCTGCATCTTGGGGGGTGCCTTTCCAAGGTTATTTTGTTCCATTATGGATAGCACCCGAGACCGGCTAGTGTTCAAAGGAGTTAGTTCAGACTCGGGGATAGATGCCTTTCCCTTAGATATCCTGTCAAACACACTGCGGCGATCTCGGGCAGGACTTTGGAAGCCACTGCCCGTCCCCACCTCAGTTCGGCCAAGCTCTTTTCCCTTTCAGGGGTCGGCCCTCGGGCGAGCAGCTTGAACCTCCTTTTTCATGCGGTTGAGATCTTCGGCTTGTATGCCCTTCTCAACCTTTAACCACAGCTCGTGGAGGGTGCGGGGATATTTCTTGTGAATCCCCGTGTTGAACACCCCGGAAACGAGCCCATGGGTGAAAGCGGCGATGGTGACCTGCTCATTAGGATCAGGTATCTGCACGCTTTCTTCATGGAACCTCTGAACATACGACCGAAGTGACTCACCCGGGTTCTGCTGCATGTTCAGCAGATAAGCCGAGGTTCGGGTCGTAGGTCGGGATGAAATAAACCTATGGAGAAATCTTTCCACCAGTCCTCCCAGGGTTGAGATGCTCCTAGGTTCTAATCCCCAGAACCATTTTCGAGCTGTCCCCTGGAGGAATACTGGGAAGGCTCGGCATATGACGGGGTAAGGGATGCAGTATAAGCGGAAGGCCGAGATGAAGGCATGAATGTGATCCTCGGGATCACCTCGGCCGTCATAAGACGGTATCGCGGGCAGATTGAAGTTTGGAGGAAGCCTTTCCTCGTTAATGTCGTCGGTAAAAGGCGGGGCCCTCATATAATTCATCCCAGGTATTCCCAGGGGCCGAGGTTCTTCCTCAGGTCGTCGCCCCAGGAGACCTCGAGAAAAGGCCTTAGTTAGGGAGGCTACCTTGGAGGTGGCCTTGGAAAACGCTCGTTTCGACGCACTCCGGCTTAGGCGCCTCCCATCAGACTCCTCTTCAGATGAACCTTCAGGAGATCCATCTGACTTTCTTTTAGAGGACTCAGCCTTCTGCTTGCCTTGCCTCTTTAAATATTTTCCCAACTCCTCAAAGATGTTGGGGTTCTCGGTTACAAACTCGGCCATACGAGTGATGGCTTCTTCGTTTGCGGGCTGGGTCCTTGGAGGCCCCTGCCCTTCAGATATGTCTTCTTGTGAAGCTGCATTGCTTTGCTCAGCACCAATGGTGAGAGCTTTTCTACTCTTAGAACGCGTAGGCTTCATACTCTGATGTCTTTGCGTTCCCACAGACGGCGCCAATTGAAGAGGTGATTTTCGTTCCGCTGGAGTAAGTCACCCGAACTGGAGAAGTATTTTTATCTTGGGCAGCTCTCTTGGACGTGGTCACCTGCTTGGGTAGCAAGAGGGGCTGAATCCCCTGGTATAACTCCGAAGCTCAAGTTAGTTCGGTTGTAAGGAGGTAGTATAATAGAAGGGAGTAGTATGTTACCAGAGAATTGGTCATCATCCCTTTCTCAATAGAAATGTTGAGAATTTATAGAGGAAGGATAGGAGAGAGGGACTGTCTGCACGAGTCCCTAAAGATCTGAGATGGTCAGTGCATCCGGTAGACTTGACCGATCTTTATGAGATGTGAGGGGATATCTGTCAGGTTCAGGCGGCGTGTCAGAGCAACCTTCCCAGGTGTCAGATGTGTTAGGAGTCACATCGTACCTTTCTGCAGTTATCAAATACTCAAGCGTCACTTCGGCTAACGATCTTAGCCGAAGTGGTAATGAGGTGGGTTCCAAACCAACAGGTCTTGCCGAGGTGGCACTTCAGGAGGCACTCCATGAGCCGAAATGACCATCCTCAAAGGGTATTCTGATTAACTTCTATTATCTCAACTTCTCTCTTGGGCTAAATATTATTTGTATCTAAAATTTGAGGCACTAAATATTGTATATGAAAGGTCTATAATCTTCACACTTTCCTCTTGGACGAATTTGGATGCCTGTTTATACTCTGGCTTTTTTGTTTAAAAAAAAAATTCTCCTGCCCCTCCTCACTTTCTCACCCCCACGTTTCGAATTCTAAATTTGGCAACATTGCAGCCCTTCCCTAATCATTGAGAACTTTGGCTTGATTATGCATTTTGCTGAAAAAAATGGATATTTTATTCATTCCCAAAACTCGTTTGTAATACTTTGAAAAGCTTATTAAATTTGGAGGATGAACTGAAAGCTTTCAGTGTGAGGTCCATGCACAAATGCACTTAATACCGTTGTTTGGAAAATACAAATTTGGCACCCTACATCGCGTTGGATCTAATTTATGCAGTCCAAACATGTAATTTCTCATTAGTTTTTGGCATTGATAACTCTACATTTGCCGCTGCTGTCCGATGAATGGTTAATTGCGAAGAATGATGTTCTTCTTTTGGCCTTGAAACTGCGCAACGGATCTTCTGTCCCACACTCTGTGCCACTCTCTGTCCCATTTTTTATTATATTGTTATTTCTCCTTCATAAACATCATGTTTTAGTTCTTTTTTGTTTTCTTAAGATTCAATAATTATTAATTCAGTAAAAAATAAATACAACAATTTAAAAAATATATATATAATAGAAAATTAAAAAATACAGCAGAAAATTCATAAAAAATCTCATTTTTTATGCATTTTGATTTTTTGATTTTGTTAAATTTTGTGTATTACTCAATTAATAGTTATTGAATCTTAAGGAAACAAAAAAGAACTAAAATATGATATTTATGAAGGAGAAATAATAATATAATAAAAAGTGGGACAGAAAGTGACACAAAGTGTGGGACAGAAGATCCGTTGCGTTGAAACTGTCACCCCTACCAATACTTCTCGACTCCATGGATTCACACATGCCTAGAAACGATGCCTGAGATAGTACAGTAATGCGGCCACGAGAAATAAAATGAAGAAAATTTTCATTGCTGCTTTTGCCTTTCCTTGAAATGAAGCCCTGGAACAGATGTCGTCCATGGCACTCGTCAATGATGTAATTGTTTTCTGTGGAACATCGAGGTTAGCCCATTCACATTGCACTGGGAAGTAAAATTGAAGTCTAACTATACTCACCAGTCTGAGGGGCTCAATATGAAGGATTGGCTCCAAGAACATATCTACGTTACTGGATTATAAAGCAATCAAACAGAAACAATTAGTCACAGTTGAAGCTGACAGTGAAGACAACTAACTAATGCAAGTTAAATTTCTTTCATCTGTTGTGCTACTTACTTTATGACCACCTTTCCCTGATAAATGTGACAAGTGTAGAAGCTCAGACCTTTGCCCAGAGGGACGCGATCCTTGCCCCATTCTGAAGAATGGACATAAAGACGAAGGATATTCTTTAGTCCACGTTTAGACAGGAAAAAAATAATTAATAAATATGAAAGGGGGAGAGAACCTAGTTTCCAAGATACACCAACATTCATTCCGTCATGGAACGTCGGCTGCACCACGATTTCAATGTTATTTCCCAAGTTCTTCATGAGAGAAGAGAAGAATCCCAATACTTGCTGCATGCGAGGGTATACAGAGAAGCCCAGACCAGAAGGTTAGACGTGCATTCAAGGTTTGTGTGTGCGCGCGAGCACGTGTGTATATTCAGCTTACCTCCTTACCATGAAAAGGTTGGAAGGTGGAGACAAAATTGCAATTGCATAGGCATTCTTCTCCAATTATATCAGACAGTTCATTGATGTTCTTATTCTTGATTGCCTTGTAAAGCTTGAGAACTGTTTTCAGAGCTCTGCGATCATCAGCTTCTGACCCTAATCCTTGAGCACTGCATTTGCATGCCACCGACAATGTACCCTGGTCTCTGGGCAGCAGCTTATTTGTGGAAGAAGATTGAAAACAGTGAAACCTGTCCGAAAGGCATGCTCTTTGGCGTAGGCGTTGGTGTGGTACTTCGTACGGCATCGTCGGGCACGTAAATGGAAAGGAAATAGAGATCATTTGGCTGAAGAATATGAAGGCAGGAAGGAGATTGAACCTGTGAATTGAAGATCCAAGAAATGAATGTCGGATTTAGAATTGTTGGAGAAAAGGAACAAATGTAGTGCATGGATGGAAGGTAATAAGATCGTATATAAAGAATAAAGCAACAATGCCGCAGCTGCAAGCTTGGAACCTTTCTGAAAAGTTGCGAAAGAAAGCAATACTCAAATAGACTATTACAAGATTTCCTCTAAAATAAGTTTCTCTTATATACCTTCAAAGAAAATTTAACGCCAAGATTCCGACATCATTCTGCAATCGAAATTCGAAAACTATACTAGGCTTGAAACGAAAATCACATGTCACCTGTTAGTGTACTTTTTTTTTAACAAGGTTTTGTTTGACTTTTTTTTTATTTTTGGACGAAATCAAGGTTTTGTTTGACTAGGAAGTGCTTATACTTGGATTGCCATTTCTCCCCAAAAAAAAATCTTATATTTTTTGTGAACATATTTTTTAACTATTTTTAAAAAAAATTTTAACGAGGTTTTGTTTGACTGGGAAGTACTTATTTGAATTGTCATTTCTGTCAAAAGTTTTTTACATTTTCTGTGAATATATTTTTCTAATAGTTTTTTGTTTCACATATATTAAATCGTTATAATATATATTTTTTAGAAAAACTCTAAAGTAGCAATCCAAATGAGAATGCAGCACATCAATTAGTAGAACCAAAGGTTGGTTGGGACTCCAAAGAAATAATTATTGAACCCCCCCCCCCCTCTCTTCTTTCTGTAGATACTTTTTCTAGAGTGATTAAAAACACTCTAGGAAGATGAGTTAGTACATTATGATATTGAGATGGAAATCACATTTTTCAAAACAGTTCTACATTTGTTATCTCAAATTACTTAGATTTTATTGAGAAGCATTTAGAAGAGTGCATGCACCAATTATTCTCCAAACCCCTTTAGGGGTTGTAGTTTGTGTTAGAGTCAAGAGATGAACCAGATTATTCAATACTCGAATTGAGTTCGATTTCATAAGAGCCCGTTCGAATTTAATTAGCCAATTAATCAAACTAAGTTTGAACCATATTTTATATTCAATGAAATACAAATTCGATAAAAAAGTTTGCTCAACCTTGATTCGAAAAATAAACAAACAAAATTTGAACAAAATTTCAAACTCATTAAGATAATCAAATAAATTTGAGCACCAAATATTCAACTTGATTGGCATATGTACACCCTAGCTTGCATTGGTTCAAGCAAACTTTGCATACAACTGCTTGGGCTAACAAATTTAGTGAAGAAAGCCCAATACATAACGACGGCGTTTGACTGGGAAACCGGATAATTGCTAACTTCCTTTCGTTTTCCGTTTTCCCTTTAGGGTCAAAATATCCGCCGTCACTAACTGTAGCCTTCTGGTTCTAAATCCTAACGAAGCTCTGTGAAAGAGAAGCATATTCTTTTCGATTGGATTGCGAGAAAGCAGAAGCCTAATAATCAATTAATCAGTCAAGGGGAAGGAAAAAAAAGAGGAATGGCGGAGGATTTGGTACTGGACACGGCGATAAGGGACTGGGTGTTGATACCACTATCGGTGGTGATGGTCCTAATCGGAGTCCTCCGCTACTTCGTCTCTAAGCTCATGCGTAGTTCTTCCCAATTGCCCGATCCTAAGATAGTCAAAGAAGGGTATACTTGCTTACCCCTAATCTGGAGATCTATGTTTTGGGTATAACCAAAATATTTGTCTATTTTTTTGCCTTTTTATAAAAATTTATTTTCAACTTAATTGTTCAGGCAGGTGATTATTAGGGCTAGGAATTTAAGGGCTGCTGCCAATTTTATCCCTGCCAAGTCCTTTCGTGCTCGTAAAGTTTACTACAGCAATGAGGTTCGATTTTCTTTCTTCTCCTTTTTTGTTTTTGTTTTTGGCTTAGGTAATTGTTATGCAAATCCCCCTCCCCACTTAAAAAAAAAGGTTCTTGTGCCCTCTTTTGCATCGGGATCTAAGAGTCGGTAATCCCAAAAGCTTTTTTACTCGTTGCCTTTCATTTGTGCAAGCATTTTGACTTTCTAGTTAAGAAAATTTATCTTTTTCCCCGGCCCCCAGGGAGGTGGCTTGGATTGGCGAGCAGGAGGGTTTTTAGTCTAGTGCTAAAATAATGGAACTTTATACAAACTATTGAAGAAATGAAAGGGAATGCAAAGCCAGACGTTAATCTGAGAATTGAATTACAATAAGTGATAACTAAAATCTGTGAATATTTTGTAGTATAATGTGTTTACTGTCAGATTTAAGGGAGGATGCTATTGATGATGAAGTTATTGTGGAAACTACAGCATTACTTAGATATTCAGAGCATGTGCAGACTGGAAATATGTGGGATGCCACAAATCTGTGAATATTCAGAGCTGCGAAATAAATGAATAAGCTGAGAAGAAAAAACTTGAGCCAAAGGCCCAAGGGGATGCCACCAATCCTGCCAGAGATAAGACATCTGGCCATTACCAACAACTATCTGAATTCACTTCCTAGCCGCAGCACATAGCTTTACCACTCACTTTAGAAGTCTTATGCCTAATGTTGCTTCATTAGTCATCCTTTACCTTTGAAATTAGTTTGAATTCTGCTGTTGGGGCTGATAATAGACTAGAGAGGTTTAAGAAATACAAACCCAGGGTGCTGATCTTATGCTTGGGACTAGCATTCTTTCTAGTCTTCATGTTTATTACTATCCCCTTGAGAAAATGCCTGGCTGCTAAAAAGGTTGGAAAAAATCAGTATGAAACTCTGTGTTGTTTACTAGGTAGTGCACTTACACTTGTTTTCTTAGGAGTAGGCCTGGACTGTGAACTTAGACTGCTGAAAGTGTCAGAGGAGATGCAGCCATATGTTCCTGTGACTAAGGTGCAGCAGTGCTATTGATAGAACAAAAACTGTTATCTGAAATTTCAAATTAAGTAAGAAGATAGATGATGGACTACTTTTAAGGAAATTTAATTGGAAGAAGTTTGAGCAAACTATTTTGCCCTCTCTCAAGGCTTCTCATAGATTCAATAATCTTTGGCCTTTTCTTGGTCCATAAAAATCTAAATATAGTGAAAAGGCTGTAAAAAAGAAATTAACTTGATGGGGGCAGGCTAGGGTAATCTCAAAAAAAAAATTTTCAGTAATGACGGATCTAGGGCGAGATAAGTATAATTTACTCAGGAAGTATGTTAACTAATTTCTGTATAACATGGGCAATGGAGGTTACTTGATTAGAGAGTAAAGAAGCGAGGTTTCTCCATGATGTGGGTCTGTAGAAATCGAAAATGAATGCATTTTGTTTACTCATCATTTGCTTAACTTATATTTTGATATGTGGATTATAATATGACATTTCAGGAAAATGGACTGTTATTCGTGCCCAAGGGCCAAGCTCAAAATGCACAGGCACAAATGTTTTCTGACCCCAACATGGCTATGGATATGATGAAGAAGAATCTTTCAATGATCATACCACAGGTGAGAAATAATCGATTATTAATTTTCTTGATGACACAGCCTATAGCTGAATCTTTAATGGTTTTACAGAGATAAAGCTGAATCTGGCCATTATAACTTTATCCTCTCTTCTGCAGACTCTAACTTTCGCGTGGGTCAACTTTTTCTTCTCGGGTTTTGTAGCAGGTCTGCCTGTTCTTTTTCTTTCATTCTTTTTACCTCGTCTAGTACTACATTGATATTGTCTCTGTGTTACTTCTGTATGACGAGCCATTCTATGATCTGGTCTTCTTGATGTAGTTGCTAAGTTGGCTAGAATTTGAAGGTCTTGGTTGTCATATAGTTTATTGTATATATGCATCTGCAACTTTGATTTCTACATCTATGTTGTTGATTCAGTCTGGCTCTTTCTTGGGGATTGAAGCATGACGTTTTTGCCTTTTGCTTGGATGACATACTTTCTATAGTTCTCCTCCTAGTCACTGATATTTTTTTTGAGGTTGGTCTTGTATCCTAATGGATACTGATGTAAGCATCTTAATATGTTCTTCCTCAGCAAAGATACCGTTTCCACTGACACAGAGGTTCAGATCAATGTTACAGAATGGTATCGATTTGAGTACTGTTGATGTCAGCTATGTCAGCAGCCGCTCATGGTAATTGAGTGTTGTTGTCAGTAAAGTTTTTCTCTAGTATTGCATTGCTTGGATGTTAATAAATCTACACTGCGTATCAGGTATTTCCTCAACCTGTTTGGGCTAAGGGGCTTGTTCAGTCTTATTTTGGGAGAGGAAAATGGTAAGTATCCTGAATATTACTGGTTCTTTTGAATCATCAATCTGGATGTGCATTTTCCTCTCTCTGTCTCTCTCTCTCTCTCCTGTTTGCCTATATGAAAGAATGAAAACGTTATCATTCAGTGGGATCTTAATTTGCTGCTTTCATACAGCAACTGATGACACACAACGGATGATGCAAATGAGTGGGTTTGGTATGGATCCTTCTAAGGTATGTTCTTATGGACTTTGCTGTTGACCATTGATGCTTGGAACTATTAAATGATGTGAATATCACTTCTTGGTTTCGAAATGGAAGTATGCACTTTGAGGTGAAAACCCTCCAGAAAAGCACGTAAAGCTCAATATCCTGATTAGTACTCGACTCTTTTACTGACATTAACTTGTTTAGGGTTTTCAGTTATTGCGGAAATGCTGTTGTGCTAAATGTGAAAATAGTGTTTTTAGAGCCAATCGATTGATTAATATTTTTGCTTTCAAGTTTCCCTGTGAGACATGGCTAAAACATTACTCTGTCACGTTTGATAATTGGACGAGTGCTTTTAACTTGAAGCTTTTTTGCTACTCTTGTCAGAGTTTGAGTGCCGAGAAAGATGGTCTAGATATAGTCCAGCATGAATGGGCCTTGCCGAAATTTGAGCAGCGGGCGGAAGCAGTTTTGAGGAAACTCGTCAGCTAACAACCGACAAATGGAGAAATTATGCGTTGCCGCATCTGATCGTGCAACTGTATTTGGGGATTATGTCATCAGCCTGGAAGTTGGAAAAGATTTTACCTACCATGTAGAAAAAGGTCAAGATGACCGGGAGCCCTTGAGCTCCCTGCTGTTGGTGCTTCCATTTGAGAAATAATTTTATTAGGCGATCGGACTCTGCTTCAACATATTTCAAAGTGTGTTATGGAGTTGAATCCATAGGTTAATTGCTTTGGAATTTACGCTAGTAGTTGTAATGCAACAGCTCTGAAAGTTTGTAGGATCTTTTTTTTGGAAAAAAAAAAAGGGTGCAAGAGACCGTCTCTGGTTGCCCCTGTTGGATATTTTTTTTTTTTGTTCTATTTATTCAGAATTTGCGTGCAGGGAATTGTATATCTGGATGTTAGTCTGGTCTGTTATATTTATTGCTGATTATTCTCTGGAAAGACAAAATAGGAAAGCTGCACCAATATAAAATTCGAGTGTAAGATGCAGTATTGTAGTAGATGAGGACCTTGACGAGGCACGGTGATGATACGCTAAACGAATCCACCGGCAAATGAAATTTGAAAGTTTCAGCTGATGTTGCAATTAACACTGTGGATTAGGGACGGCAACGGCCTGCTGCCCACTAATTTCCCCCGTCCTTTGCGCCCCCCCCCCCCTCCCCCTGCCCTGCTTTTCTTGCGGGGGAGCTAATAAAAAGTTGCCATATAATTTTTTTATAGTCAAAATTTGACAAATAATTAAGTACTAAAATATTAACACATCATTAAATTATTATTCATTATAATTTCACAATTGAAACTTATAAAAACAATTAAACAAGAGTTATTTGAATACAATCCAACATCATGAAACAAATATAATTAAAGTAGTGAAGTTTTCATTTTTGATATAAATATAATTATTAAGTTATTATTGTGTTTTTTTTTTTGAGGAAAAAAGTGTTATTATGTTAAGTGTAATTATGAATTTAGTATAAACTTATTAGTTAATCTAGTATAATTAATTAATAATTTCTATTAGAAAACATGTATAATTATTAATCTAATTATATTACATATACTAATATCCATTATATAATACATATAACTAATAATAATATTATTATAAATTTATAACTAATTAAATTAAATATTATATACATAATTATATACATACATATATTTATTTATTTATTTTTTTTAACGGGTGAACGTTTCAAGACCCCAATTGACATTCCTACTGTGGATCCTCTGCGAATGACAATACTGTTCCCAAATTAGGCATGTCAGGGTGACAAAGTGGCTGCTGATGTGTTAATGGGTTCAGAAAAATACAAACTACTTTTATCTTTAATATGATGGTAATGGAAATTATATGCACTCCGTTCAAATATGGTAATGGAAAATAGAAATGACTGAACGAAACGATTCTGCAGCACGAGGACGGCAGGAAGGAGACAGAATTCTGTGATCTCTCTGTTTTCTTCCTTATGCCTTCACTAACTTTTTTTTTTTTCTTTTAATTGTCGGATTGGTCATTATGCTGCCTCGGAACTTGAACTTGCTATAATCTATGGTGGAGACCGTATCAAGTACGAACAAACACAGTGCCCAAAGCACATCCATCTCTGCCAAGTGCCAACCCCGAAAATGTAAACTTCGAGATTTGATTATTCACTGATTTCCACCACCACCACAGCCGCTGCATGAGCAGGTTCTGCCTGCGATCATACTAGTTGTTATGTGCATTGATCCTTCATTGAGGGATGGGATAGAAATGAATTTAAACGATCAATTCTTGAGTTAGTGGTCTTCAAAACGGTTGAAGCGTTAACAGAGAAAAGCTTTTCGTAGCAGAAATTAAGGATTCTTGACAACCTCTTGACTGCTAAAAAAGATCCATGAGTAAATGACACGAGACAAAAGCGTGAAAGCGGACCAGGTAAGCTGCCCAAAGTAAAGAATTTACGAAAAGAAGAGGGAGGGTCTTTGCTAAAAAGATGTGATAGGGCCCCGTATCTAACAGTCCACGGTAAAATTTATCATTTATGTATCACTGGCTGGCTTTAGCCTTTCGTTTGCGTAATTAACGGGGGTTTGGAGCGAAGAGCGTGGCCTTGTTATTCACTAACGAGCTTAATAAGATCATGTCCCATCCAACCCAACAAATGCAACTTAATTGCAACTGTCTATGGGTTGATTTGAGAGATCCCACATTTACATAAATGTCGGGACCGAGTACTGAGTGCTGCTTTAAAAAAATTATGCTCTTCTTCTTTACTGAGTCATGATTCAAAAGATTATGGCGGTGAACCCTGTTTTGGATCTTATGCCGAACCCTTTTTTTAGGCGTCTTACCCTTTGATGGTGAATGCCATCGTCGGCCCACCAGTAGGAATGACAGTACCATGAAGAGGAGACACCGTTAGGAATTACGGTACCAAGAAAAGGAGGAGATGGCCAAACACTAAGCTGCAAAAGACTTGTTGGTGGGTTCTTTCAACTGCTGGCTTGTAGTTTTGAAGAGAGGAAGCCTTTCTCCATCATCCAACGTCAACTTCACCAAAAGTGTTTCCGCTTACTAGTTACTACTGTAGTATTTACTTGGGGCTTTTGTTGTGGGGAGGAAAAAATGAAAGGCTACAGGTGAAGGAACCATTGCTACTGTACGTGCCTTCTATCTATGTATAGCAGACCCACAAAGGTCTAGGAACCAGAGAAATTTATCAACCACTCCTTTGTTATTATTATTTTTTTTCAATTAAACGCCTGTTGCGTGCTTGTGCTGCCTAGTGTTGATTTCCCAATTCATATTTGCATGGTAGATATCACTTTTCTTTCTCTTTTTTTCCCACATTGCGTCAGCCGCATGATCCTAAATTTTGAGGCTGCCGATTCGATCGATGAACTGTTTAAGAAGACAATTTCAACAAGAATTGCATCATGTCAACGTCTTCTCTAGCCAGCTATGCACAGTAACCCTCATCAACTGCATCTCCCTGCCTTGCTGCCCCGCAAAATTGTCCTATTACAATTGGTTCTCACAAAAATGAGATCAAAGCTTGAAATCATAAGCCCGTTGGAAGAAACAAGTGCCATGACGTGAAAGCAAGAAATTAGGACGGGGAGATGACCGGATGATATATACATATTGTTGGGATCCATAATATATAGAACAGGAGAAAGGTGGAGAGTGAATATTAAAGGATCATCACGTCCATCCCATCACAGATAATAATAATATTCGGATGGCAATTATGTTATGCAAGACCGGACCAAATAATGAATGAATGTATGAAATGGAAGAAAGAACTGAAGAACGCGGTCTCGTCCGATCCGATGTTTGGTAGGCACACGTGGCATGCGTCCACTTGGTCAACAAAACCAATCGTAGTGGGCCCCAAACCCGCCGTCCAACTCACACTTGAATCGACTTTTCCCTCTTTTTCACCTTAACTTTACAGGCCAGCCGGAGGCGGAGAGGGAATATACGCCAAGAAATAGGCTTGACTCTCGAGAGAGAGAGCTGGATGACGAATGATTTTGATGGGCAGCAAATTTCACATCTCGCATCCCCACCCCACCACCTAGGCTGCTAATCTGCATGCCTCGGGTTATTAATCAAATTTAATTAGCAGCAGCAAATCAATACTACTGCGTAGGTCTACCGGCTAATGAATGAGATACTGCGGTTTACTAAAACCGGAGGCAAAAGGGGAAGAGAAGCTTCTTCGAAGACATTTGATGGTGATTGCGCACTTTGTTCAATGGTTAGATGCCCCTATAAAGAGGTGCGTACGTTCCCTCATCAGATTTGAAAAAGAAAGAAAAAAAAAAAAAAACCGACCCAAGTTAAGAAGAAGTGGTAAAATTTACGTGGAGCATCCGTCCCAAATACCTCATTTATGCCGAATGCATGTCAATATTTCTTTGGTCATATCATATGGACACATCAATTTCATAGCTGGCACCTGCCGTGTCCACCGTGGAATGTTAGGCAAGTGCCAATACCAAGTACGCCCGTGGTGCCCTTGATAAACCAAAAACCAATATACTAGTAATTTGTTTACAGATCTTGCCTACCCATGGATATCATCCTTGGATCTAAAAGTATTAGTAGCAGGTTTCTTCTCAAATGAAGAAACAAATGTATTCTACTAATGTCGAAAACCAACATAAAGGTGACAAATAGATAGTGGTGGGCCATATGAGCCAAGCAAGCAAACCTTTTAACCGGTTGAGACAGGGGTATGTTACTGGCAAAAAAAATTGTTGTGGGACCTCTCGGAATTAATAATGTATTCAGTAAGACCTTCTCTTGACGCCGAAGAAATGCAATGGCACGAAATGCAATTGCGCGAAATACTTCTGACGATTAAGATATTTCCAAATTGCCCGCGTGCCAATGGTCAGGAGGGATATTTGTAATAAAAACTTGGGCGTTATTTGATAGTTTTTGGATGCCTAAAAGGCGTGATCTATCATTTTGGCAAATGGCGTGCTTTAATTTTGTCAAAACCACACGCTTTTCAGTTATTATGATTAATTGATGTAGGTGAGATCATATTAGTAACTTTAATCAACTATGTTCGACTTAGTTGACCATGAACAATCATATAAATAGTCCTTATTAACAGTTGTATAAATAGGCATAAGTAGTTATAATCGTTGGAATCCACTATCTGATTAATGGCTATTATGAGTTATTATCTTCTTAGTCCAAAAACAAATTGAGAGATAACAATGATCCATATCTACCACCATCTTATGAGCTAGCATCAAGGAATCGACAATTAGATTAGACCCTTAATTAGTTATAATCGTCGGAATTGACAATTCAATTTAATTGTTATAATGAGTTGTTATCATCTTAACCCATGGAGGAATTGGGGAATTCATAGCAAGATGATCCATATTTACAACCATCTACTTATGAGTTAGCACCAAGGAATCTATAATCAAATTAGAGACTCAATTAGTTATAATTATCGGAATCGACTATCTGATTAATCGCTATAATCAACTATTATCGTCATAGTGTTACAACGCATTAGAAAATGCATAACGAAATGATCCATATCTATTACCGTTTTCTTATGAACTAGCAACAAAGAATCGACTATCGGATTGAATGCATAATTATGTGGTATTTGGTAAAAGGATTTCGGTATAGAGAATTGGAATAAACCTCATAATCATTGTTTGGATTACTATTATCGGAATTGAAATTTTGGAATTATATATAAAAATGCAATGGCGTTTCCCAATTCCCTAGTAACTTGGAAGGTTTTGGATAAAAGCCAAGTTTGATTCCCTTTTAGAAACAGGGCTCGTCCCGCTATTCGTTAAAAAAATTAACATATAATAATAAATATAAATGTAATTATATTTATAATTATTATATACACATATAATATATTATATAAATATATATTATAAATTTATTAATATTAAATAATAATATAT